AGTCAGCTGATCCTAGAGAACTCGCTCAAAATGAATAGTTAAGATCTCAAGCACGTGGACAAGTGGCCATTTATGTGCAAGGCTGTGCCAACCACTGAAATCTGATTACTTCAATACTCATGCTGAAATCCTGCATAAATTCATTACCTCTCTCATGCTAGAATTTTGCAAGTCCTTACAAAAATTTTTAATATCCAAAAGTCACTTAAACTGACAAGACTACATACAGCATCCTGGGCACATCCAGTTTTTAGAACACTTCAATAGTCTCGGCCACGCATCATTTATTATAACAGGGAAAATGCAAAACCAGTGAGAGCACGTGCTTTCCTAAGCAAATATTAAAAATAACCCTATGCCCTCATTACGAAAAAGGAAAATCTTCGCGTTTCCAGCTTAATCTCGACCCGGGGCCAATGCACACTCCCACCTCCCACGCCGAGACGCCGCCCGGGCACGCCGAGATGGGGCTGGAAGCTGCTCGCGCTCTCGGGAGGACCCGTCCCCTCTCCCCGCGCGCTCGGACGCGGCACGCCCAGACCCACGTGGACTCCAGGCGGCGGCGGCCGGACCCACCACCTGGGTCGCCGCCCGGGGTCGCGGGGAGGGGCCGGGGGCGGGGCCAGCGCCGCGCCGCGAGGCCGGGGAAGGGAGCCGGGCTGCACTCACGCGCCCGGGGGGCGGCACCGGGGCCGTAGCGGCGTCCCTCCGGTTCGCACACTGAGAGGGGGGCGGGGGGGGGAAAGACCTGGCTCCTCGTTCCATCCGGAAGCCGCCGGGCCGGCAGGAAATGACGAAGCAGAGGTCGTCCGGTCCGTGCGGTAACCGGCTCCGCGCGTCCGGCAGCGACTGCCGGGGAAAGAGCGCGGAGCAGAGCAGCCGGGCCGCGTGCCGCCTGCAGAGCGAGCGGCGTGAGTCGCCCCGCCCCGCCCCGCCCCTCCATGCGGGGGGAGGGTGAGAGGGAGGGAAGGGAGCCCGAGGGCCCCCCTAGCCCCGCGCCCGGCAGTCCCAGCTCCTCTGCCGCCGCGCCCCAGGCTGGAGGGAACAGTGCGGCCCGCAGCTCCAGAATCGCGGATCGAAAGGCGGAGGCCGCCGCCTGCGCAGCGCAGGGCACCCGGGATGGGAGGATGGGGGGATGGGGGTGTGGAGCGGGCGCGCTTCAGGATCGCACCGCGCGCAGCCCGCGGCGGCCGAGCCCTGGCGGCTCCGGCCCCAGCCGCCTGCCGGGGTGGGGGTTACATTGCCCGCTAGACTGCTCCTCTCTCCGGGACTGGCAGGTCTCACGAGTCTGGGCAGGGCCGGAAGCGCCCACGTTTGGGAGTCCAGCGTGCGACTCGCTAGCCTCGGTGGTTTTGGACGAGTTGTGTACCCAGTCCCCCACCCCGCGTCATCTGCCAGGTGGAGCTTTCGTGCCTCCCAGCAGGGTGATGGTAACAATTAAATGCATATGTGGACTGCCCAGCACAGGCCTCTCAGATGTTAATTGCCTTCGTCTTGCTGGTTGAAGGCCTGTGACCTTGTACCCTCCCGCTTCAGCAACCCAAGCCTTTAGCGTTTCAGAGGACTGAGGGAAAACCACATTGATACGATAGGTTGTGTTGTAAGGAGCTCGTAGAACTGAGTGAGTGACTCCAATCTGAACTTGTTTCAAAATAGCAAAGCTCTAAGAGACGAAATGGATACCATTCAAGACATGATGACAGGTGATCCTCAAAACTGAACCACCTAGACACGGCATCGGGAACCCCAAATACGGAAAAAAATTTTAAAATGATACAGCCGCTTGAGTTCAAGAAGAGTACTAGTTCTCTACTTAAAAGTTTGTCAAACTGAAATCAAGCCCCAGTTGTCACATTTTGCCAACTTTATTTCTGGATAGTTATGTTCAGCTCATCCTAGCAACTCCTTACTGAAATAGCTCAAGCATTAATTTACAGGAAAAATATGTGAAAAAGGTGCAGTTTTCTCAGAAAAGCCCTGAATGACAATCCAAGCACATGGTGGTCTTGCTGAAACATCCATTAACTTCCCAGGAACAAACCACTGTAATGCCCCTGGGCATTGTGCTTTAGACTTAGAGGGAGGCTGTGAGGTGTGCAGTAGCTGCTCAGCAGCTGTGTGTGTGTACACTTGGTTAGACTGGTGAGCTGGGTGGGGACCAGTCATAGTTCAGGCCACATGGGAGCTGTGGTCTGTGGCAGTCTTACAAAGGCATGCCATTGGTCATGATGGAGGACCAGGCACCAAAGGCCTACCCCTGGTGCAAGTCTTTCACAACTATACTACTAAAAGTGCGTGTCCCCAGAACAGAAGTGTCATTGCGTACCAATCAAGTTGTATAATTCACAGTAAAATTTCACCATTCTTGGTCAGCAGAATTTCAGAATCCTTCTCTAAATATAATGAAAAACTGGCATATTTGTAGGAGGAGGAAGACAGCTCTGTAGGAATACACCATTTATTGAGTGGCACATGAACAGAATTTTGTGGCACACTAAAGCAAGAAATTCATCTGGCTCAGATCCAGTCAGGTGGTAGAAAACATGTAGGAAATACTTTAATAGTGTGTCAGATAAAGGGCACCTGCAAAATGTTTCAGTAGCCATTGTTAAGTCTGCTCCCCTTTTCTTCTCCAATTTGTTAGTAACTCCCAATCCTGAAACCTGCCACCTTCACTGCGTGGCCGTGCCAGCCCTTCCGCGGCACCTCAAACCAGACCTCTGAAGTCATCTCTTATGGCCCAAAACAGTCATCGTTATTTTATGTTTTGGCACCAACGAAAATCTAGAAAATTCTAGATTCCATAAATCGTAAACACAATTATAGTCTCTGATGTTCCAAAAGTTTCCATTCCTAAAGTAGGCTGATTACTTACTATGAATAATGTTACATCCAGAGAAACTCTGGAGTTCAATTTTCAGGAATAAGAATTGAAACTGTGAATAATGCCAAATCCCCCTGCGCCTCCCACTCTCTTAAAAAAAAAAAACAAAAATCCATAGCCAATCTTTAATATCTAGGAATTGGGTATGTTTAATGATTTAATATTTAGATCTCGCATCTATAAAGTTTTAAGTTCTGTTTTTATTATTCTTTGGCTAATTTTTAAAAGACGAATCTTTATGCTCATCAGACACCAATAGATGTTTCAGAGGAATGATTCTTGCCCTCAGTGTCTAGAATTTAAGTTAAATGGCCATTCACGATACTCACTTTAATACAGTCCGCAAACGTCTGACAGAGACTTCAGGTGCCAGAATGGGGCCAACATGCCACCTGGCCTGGGAGCAGACCCCAAGGAAATTTCATTCATTTTATGCAGAGGCAAACTGTAAGAAAGAAAACAGACTCTGCCCTTAATATACACTTATTAAGTTACTGAGCCAAATCTACACTAAAGAAACTTTTTGGGGACTTCCCTGGTGGCACAGTGGATAAGACTCCGCGCTCCCAGTGCAGGGGGCCTGGGTTCGATCCCTGGTCAGAGAACTAGATCCCACATGCATGCTGCAACTAAGAGTTGGCATGCCACAGCTAAGGGGCCGGTGAGCCACAACTAAGGAGCCCTGGAGAGGCAACTAAGGAGCCCACTTACCGCAAGTAAGACCCAGTGCAACCAAATAAATAAATAAGTATTTAACAAAAAGAAAGAGACCATCACTCTCCTTTTAAAAAAAAAAACAAAAACATTTTGGAGGCTCACAGGACAGATTGCAAGATATTTATTTCAGAGGAGGAATTTCTGCAATGCCTTTACTGTTGTAGGATGTCTAGAAAAAATTGCAAAACAATTTCTTGGACATTCCAGATACCTTTTTTCTTGGTATTAGAAAATGGCTATCTTAGTAGAAACCACAGTACAGTTATCACCTGTCATTTGTTCAGTTTTTCTCCTTTTTTTTTTGCGGTACGCGGGCCTCTCACTGTTGTGGCCTCTCCCGTTGCGGAGCACAGGCTCTGGACGCGCAGGCTCAGCAGCCATGGCTCACAGGCCCAGCCGCTCTGCGGCATGTGGGATCTTCCCGGACCAGGACACGAACCTGTGTCCCCTGTATCGGCAGGCAGACTCTCAACCACTGCGCCACCAGGGAAGCCCAGTTTTTCTCCTTTTGATAGAGTATCTAAAGCAACACTTCTGAATTTCTTTCACATATTAGGTCATTTTACTTAGATTTACCTAGTTTAGATTTAACACAAGAGCAGAACTTTCTCTTTAAGGAAAAATTCAGTGAACTTCCCAAATGCAAATAAGAAACTTTCCCTTGCTACTTGATACACTTGCTGTTACCATTCATTTTCTGTGGGAATGTCCAAAGAATGCATTTCCTTGAATAGAAGTCACAGCTGTATAAATAGCAAAATAACTTTTTATCCCATAACTTCCACAGTGGGCCAGGAGGCCAAAACTAGATAAAGCTCCAGACATTTTCGTTTTCCAGGTGTGTCAGGGGCATGTGGAAGAGCACGGTCCTGGCTGGCGCATCTCATCCAGACTGCTGTCACGAGTCTAACGCTGTCCTCGTCTCTTAGCATCCCAGCCAGTTGTGTGGACCTCTGCTTTAAGTATTCAGTTGCTTTCATCTGGGTGATAGTTACAGTTTGGAAACTATGCAGTGACATTTAAACCCATATCCTTTTAGAAATATGATTTTTAAATCCCGAGTTTGAACCTTCATGTAGGAGCTGTGATGTTTCAAAGTCAGAAATAGGCGAAAATGTGTTCCATGCCTTAGTGATCTAGACCAGGGTTGGCCAACATTTTCTTAACGGGCCAGATGGTAAACATTTTAGGCTTTGAGGGCTGTGAGGCAAAAATGGAAGATGCTCTGCTTAAAATGTATCCGTTTAGAAATGTAAAACCATTCTTGGCTCCTGGGCCATAGAAAGGCAGGCAGGGGGCTGGAACTGGCCAGCAGGCCCTCTGTTTGCCAGCCCTTGTCCAGCCATCACACCATCACTAACTGAAAGAAACCCTGCCCTCTTTGCTGCCTTACAGTCCCATGCCTGGCGGTTACGGAGTGATGGGTGACGAGGGCTCTATCGATTACAGCGTTCACGAGGCCTGGAATGAAGCCACCAACGTGTACCTGGTAGTGATCCTTGTCAGCTTTGGGCTCTTCATGTATGCCAAGAGGTAAAGGCTTTAGATTCTCAGGGTTGATAAGAACCCAGGCATTTATAAGTTTTGTAGGTTTGTTTGTTTGATCTAAGTTAAATGCACAAACATAATTTCATCAGCATTTTTGTTCCTGCTATGAAATCACTGTCTAATCGGGTCAACCCTCACATTACTGGACACCAGGATTTGGCTTGGAAAACCCAGTTGCTCTGAGAGATGGGGATTTAAGTGCAGCTCTTGGCACCCAGACCAGATGCTCTATACTCCTATTCTATCATTTCTGATATAGCTCAGTTTTCTCATTCAGCTAGCTTCACTGTCACCCTTGGATGAGCACATATTTTGGGCCAATGTCCCTGAAATGCACAAACTCTAACCCCTATGTGTTCAGCAATTCTGTCTTTGCAAATTTCAAGCCTTCCCTTCTGTTTCTTGTGCATAATATTGGTATGATCCAATTACTTGTCTGTCCGTCCCTCAAAACTCAGTCCCCTGAGAACAAGGACTTTTATTTAACCTTTGTGTCCCTGATGTGCCACATGGTGTAAATCCTCAATAAATATTTCTTGCTGTGATTCCAGATGCTGTAGCGTAATTCAGCTGTTCTTTTCCACACTCCCTGGCTCCTTTCCTTCAAGTACAGTTAAAAACAAATGCACGGTGAGGGGCGTGCTTTGAAGAGGAAAAACAGCAGTAGTTGGATTGAGCTGCTCCTGCCGGTAGCCATGTGCTCCGTGGCGTCCTCTACCAAGGTCAAAGGCATTAGACAGTTCAGGATAATTAGTCAACCAAGAATAATTGATGGCTCGGCCCGGGGAACAGTTCAGACCCACACTTGCCACGGGACCTGCAGGCTCACCCTTCCTGACCCTGAGACCCCTGAGCCGCTGGCCCGCTGGCCGCCTGGACTCTCGGGGGAGCGGGGCGGGGGTGGGGGGCAGGCGAGAGGAGGCCTCCACAGAGCATGGGGGAGCGACTGGCAGGTAACAGCTTTCCCTAAAAATAGCCACCGTCTCCTCCCCACCCCACTGTTTTAAAGGCAGAGACAGGCTGTTGTTAATTTTAACTAGATGACCCCACTAAGGCCATGCTACTCTGTTTAAGAAATCATTTATTCATTGTTTTCCAAAATTAAGGTCTGCTCACATTCTGTTTATTCTCTGCCCGCAATAACTTACGTTTTATTTGCATGACATGAGAGGGAGGGAAAAATAATCATACTTTTTTTGTCTGAGCATTTTTCCGTACAACAGGGCTTTTTTGTGGGGATTGAGGGGAGACGCTTTGTTGTATGAAGTGGGCATGTTCAGCTACTGCCTTTTCTTTCTTATAACCCTGTGACTGTACACGTACAACTTCATACTTCTAGTGAAAGAAAGAATACTTGAGCCCAGGAAGCATCTCACGGGGACAAAATAGAAGATGGACTCAGGGCCACTTACATCCTTTTAATGCAGCTTCTGGTTACTACGATCGTGTGAATGTTACAGTCCTACAGCTATGAATACAAATCTCTTTTCTGCATTGGTTTTGTGTTTTAGAAATAAAAGGAAAATTATGAGGATATTCAGTGTGCCACCTCCAACAGACACTCTGTCAGAGCCCAACTTTTATGACACAATAAGCAAAATTCGGTTAAGACAGCAACTGGAAATGTACTCCATTTGTAAGTATATTCTGTGCTTAATTACATACGTAAGCATATTTAAAATAGACTCTTTGGGGTTGAGTCTCGTTGGCAAAGTTTATCAGAAATAGCTGATAATGACACAGGGAACTATATTCAATATCCTGTAATAAACCATAATGGAAAAGAATATGAAAAAGAATATATGTATGTATATCTGAGTCACTTTGCTGTACAGCAGAAACTAACACAACATTGTAAATCAACTATACTTCAATTAAAAAAAAATTTTTTTTAAGAAAGAAATTGCTGGTAATGAAAACGTAGGGCCTTTTTTAGATGCTCAACACAGTATCAGCAAACCCAGTTTGCATGAAGTTAGTGTTTCAGGACACTTCACTTATTTGGGACCCTTCCATGGCCCTGAGAAGAGCCCTAGCAACGTGTTTCACGTTTTGAAAATTTGGCAGAAATTAGATGCCTTAACAGTCGGTGAGGCTCCTGTCTCATCCTGCTCTAATTTCCCTCCTTTGCACTTCCCTCATGTGCAATGGCGTTGAGGTGGCCAAGAGCATTTTGGGGATCTGGCTGAGGGGACGTTGAGTTGAACCTACTTTAGTTCAGGTTTGAAATTTTGTGTTTATAGAGTTTGCAGTCACTTCTTGACAATTAAATTACTATGTACTGCAGCCATAGCAGTATAGGAACGGCTTCCAGGTTATTAACATGTCCTGTGGTACTAAACCCTGTGAGTAAGTGGTGGAGAAGAAACAGAGGTTAAAGGGCAAGGAGCCAGGATAAATTGTACATCCAAGCCACAGCCTTTGATGCCACCATTTAAAAAAATGAGGTGTGGTTTCCATGGTGTATCATTAAATGAGAAAAGGCAAGATGTAATTATATATATGCTAGGGTACTGCTCCTTTAAAATCAAATGACCAAAATATCCCTATCTACGTGTAATAAAAATGTTGTATAGAATTTTTTTTATTGAAGTATAGTTGATTTACAATGTTGTATTAGTTTCAGGTGTACAGCCCAGTGATTCAGATATATATATATATAATATATATATATGTTCTTTTTCAGATTCCTTTCCCTATAGGTCACCACAAAATATTGAGTATGGTTCCCCGTGCTATACAGTAGGTTCTCGTTGGTTATCCACTTTATGTACAGTAGTATGCATATGTTAATCCCAACCTCCCAATTCATTCCTCCCCAACTCCTTTCCCCTTTGGCAGCCACAAGTCTGTCCTCTATGTCTGTGGGTCTATTTCCGTTTTGTAAGTAAGTTCATTTGTATCTTTTTCTTTTTAAGATTCCACATGTAACTGATATCATATGATATTTGTCTTTCTCTCTCTGACTTACTTCACTTAGTACAATGATCTCTAGGTCCATCCGTGTTGCTGCAAATGGCATTATTTCATTCTTTCTTATGGCTGAGTAATATTTCATTGTATATATATATATATATATATATATATATATATATATATAAATATATATGTACCTCCTCTTCCTTATCCAGTCATCTGTATATGGACATTTAGGTTGCTTCCATGTCTTGGCTACTGTAAACAGCACTGTAATGAACATTGGGGTGCATGTATCTTTTCAAATTTTAGTTTTCTCTGGATATATGCCCAGGAGTGGGATTGCTGGATCATATGGTAACTCTATTTTTAATTTTTTAAGGAACCTCCATACTGTTTTCCATAGTGGTTGTATCAATTTACCTTCCCACCAACAGTGTAGGAGGGTTCCCTTTTCTCCACACCCTCTCCAGCATTTATTATTTATAGACTTTTTGATGATGGCCATTCTGACCGGTGTGAGATGATACCTCATTGTAGTTTTGATTTGCGTTTCTCTAATAAATAACAATGTTGAGCGTCTTTTCACGTGCCTGTATGTCTTCTTTGGAGAAATGTCTATTTAGATCATCTGCCCATTTTTTGATTAGGTTGTTTCTAAAAATGTTCTGTATAATTACACAAGCCTGGAGGAAGGCTTGGAAAGATACACATCAGATTATTAACATTCATTACCTTGATGGGAACACTGTGGGACTCGAGGGAAAAGATTGGATATTTTTAAAAGAAAGATCTGTGTGTTTGCGTGCTCGCATAGAAAGAAGCAAGAAAGAGTGATCAGCAAGATGTTACTGGTATGTGTCTCGGGTGGACTGGAATTTCAGGTGAAAAGTAGAAAAACCGTATATATATTTTTTACACAAGTAGAACCTCTAGAAATTTCTTAAGCATAAATTTTATCCTGAGAAGTAGTAACAGCAGTTCCTTTGGGGAAAGGAGCTGCAGGACTAATCAGTGGGAGGAAGGTACACCTTCCCTGTTTCCTCTTTTGTCCCTTTTGCATTCATGTTTTACTAGTTCAGAATAAGAAGTAAAACTGAATGTTACAGAGCAGCATTATTCACAGTAGCCAAAAGATGGAAACAACCCAAGTGTCCTTGACTGATGGATCCACAGAATGTGGTCTATACGTGAATAGGATGTTTTTCAGCCTTTAAGAGGAAGGAAATTCTTTTTTTTTTTGGTTGCATTGAGTCTTCTTTGCTGCACGCGGGCTTTCTCTAGTTGCAGTCAGCGGGGGCTACTCTTCGTTGTGGTGCGCAGGCTTCTCATTGCAGTGGCATCTCTTGTCGTGGAGCACGGGCTCAGTAATTGCAGCATGTGGGCTCAGTAGTTGTGGCTCGCAGGCTCTGGAGTGCAGGCTCAGTAGTTGTGGCACACGGGCTTAGTTGCTCTGCGGCATGTGGGATCTTCCCGGACCAGAGCTCGAACCCATGTGCCCTGCATTGGCAGGTGGATTCTTAACCACTGTGCCACCAGGAAGTCCCAAGAGGAAGGAAATTCTGACACATGCTACAACATGGATGCACCTTGAAGACATTATGCTTCATAATTATTTTTATTATGAAGTGAAAGAAGCCAGTCACAAAAGAACAAATATTGTGTGATTTCTCTTCTGTGTAGCAAATTCACAGAGACAAAGCAGAATCGTCACCAGGAGTGGGGGAGGGAGTGGGGAGTTACTGTGTAATGAGGACAAAGGTCAGTGTGGGGTGATCAAAAGAAGGGTGCTGGTGGTGGCAGCACAACAGTGTGAATGTAGTTAATGTCCCTGAACTGTACACTTAAAAATGGTTAAAATGGCAAGTTTATGTTTTTGTATTTCACCTCAAAAAAAAAAAATCCTTAAGGAAATTTAAGTATTTAAAAAACAGAAACAGGGAACCAGAAGCTCTGTATAGAAAATTATAACTAAAGAGTTAGGTTTTCATTGATGCCTAGTCAAAACAGAAGTTTTTGGGAGTTCCCTGGTGGCCTAGTGGTTAGGATTCAGTGTTTTCACTACAGAGGCCCAGGTTGGATCCCTGGTCAGGGAACTAAGATCCCACATGGCTGGAGGCACAGCCAAATACAAAAAACAAACAAACAAAAATCAGAAGTTAGATCCTATCAAAAAATATTCAGTAGTATAGCATATATAATTATAAAGCCAGCGTACAGCTCTTTTTCTTCTTTGATGAGAATGGCATAAAATGAAATTTATCAGGACACCTGTGTTTGTAAGGCATGGTAGTTTTCTGTTGCTGCTGTATTACCACAAATCAGTGGCTTAACACAACACAGATCTTACAATTAGAGATTAAAAGTCCTACAGCAGATTCACTGACTAAAATCAAGGTGTTGGCAGAGTTCTGTTTCTTTCTGGTTGCTCTAAAGGAGAAGCTGTTTCTTTGCCTTTTCCAGCTTCTAGAAACCACCCATGTTGCTTGCTTTGTGGCTTCATTCGCCCATCCTCAAAGCCAGTAGCACTGCATCTTTCTGACCATTCTTCCATTTTTATAGTTCCTTCTCTCTCTCAACTCTGCCAGGAAAGGTTCTCTGATTTTCAGGGCCCCTGTGATCAGGTTGGGCCAGATAATCCAGGGTAATCCCCCTTCTCAAGGTCCTTACCTTAAACACATCTTTAAAGTCCCTTCTGCCCCAGAAAGTAACATATTCACAGATTATGGGGATTAGAATGTGGACATCTTTGGAAGCCATCGTTCTTGTAAATAGTGAGTATTTGCACATTTAAAGAGGCCTATCACAGGGACTTCCCTTGTGACACAGTGGTTAAGAATCCGCCTGGGTGGGGGGGGCGGGGGCTTCCCTGGTGGCGCAGTGGTTAAGAATCTGCCTGCCAATGCAGGGGACATGGGTTTGAGCCCTGGTCCGGGAAGATCCCACATGCCGCAGAGCAGCTAAGCCTGTGTGCCACAGCTACTGAGCCTGCGCTCTGGAGCCCGTGAGCCACAGCTAATGAACCCACGTGCCACAACTACTGAAGCCCTCATGCCTAGAGCCTGTGCTCCACAACAAGAGATGCCACTGCAATGAGAAGCCTGCGCACCACAACGAAGAGTAGCCCCCGCTCGCCGCAACTAGAGAAAGCCTGTGCAGCAACGAAGACCCAACGCAGCCAAAAATAAATAAATTAAAAAAAAAAAAAAAAGAATCCGCCTGCCAATGCAGGGGACACAGGTTCGAGCCCTGGTCCGGGAAGATCCCACATGCTGCAGAGCAACTAAGCCCATGCACCACAACTACTGAGCCTGCGCTCTAGAGCCCGTGAGCCACAACTACTGAGTCCCCGTGCTACAACTTCTGAAGCCGTGTGCCTAGAGCCCAAGCTCTACAACAAGAGAAGCTACCGCAGTGAGAAGGCGGCACATTGCAACAAAGAGTAGCCCCCACTCGCTGCAACTAGAGAAAGCCCGCGGCCAGCAGCTAAGACCCAACAACGAAGACTCAATGCAGCCATAAGTAAATAAATAAATAAATAAATTTATTTAAAAAATAAAGAGTCCCATCACATTGCATCATTCTTAGTGCTGATGGCATTTCTAGTCCTGACTTAGTCTGGAAGTTCAAGAGGAGATAGCAAACAAAATTCTTTTCCTTAAAGAGGACTCCCAAAATTGTAAAGCTTTCGGCCACAATAATCTGGATCCACCCTGAGTATATAAACAGAGTATTTCTTCCTTGGCTGGTAAAAACTTAATGAAGAGACTGAAGGTTTGAAAGCCAAGCAGTGAATGACATTTGCAAAGACTTTAGCCCTGCACTCTCTCTAGTTTCAGTTTAAGACCTTCAATAAATATTTCTCAGAAGCACAAAAAGAACACAGAATTGCAAGTCTGTTTTTTCTTCGTTTATATTAAAGACAATGTTCAGGAAATCTCTTAGGCTTCTCATTTAAGATATAGTCAAATTCCTTATGTGGACAAAAGTATTATTATTAACTTATCTTGAGGTGGAGATGGGAAATAAGAAAGGACATTACAAAATGTTAATTTAAGTTTCGTAGCTTAATTAGTGTTTACCCTATATTTCAATGCTCTGAATAATCCTGATGTACAAGACAATAAACATCCGAAAATGAATATCAGCACTGCTGAGAAATTAGAGGATCATGAAGTATAATAAATTTCCTCTAATGAATAAAAAATTGTTTAATTCTAAGCTAATTCTTTACTGAGAATCATGACTTGACTGTGATTTAATGATGTGAGCTCATAACTATTTTGCGATTTTATTAATCGTATCTCCTTTTTTCTTGCTTATTATTTTGTTTGTTTTTCAATAGCCAGAAAGTATGATTATCAGCAGCTACCGAGCCAGGCTGACAGCGTACAGCTCTCATTGGAATGAAATCTCAGAAAATG